GTTACTTATGCCATAAAATCCTTCTCAGTTGGAAAAGTTGTCCTGGTCCAATTCTGCCAATGATTATATGAATAAGTCTGACTAATTCTGGATGGAGTTAGAAGGCCTATTTGACCCTGACATTAAAATACATTCTCTAAGGTAGGCTCTATCACTAACGGGGGATATTTTGGCCACCATCTACCTTTTCTTGTCTTATTGCTCAATTTGTTCTGAATTTAGGTGAAAAAGAGAGGAGTGTATTAACTATATTGTCTTATTTTCTGTATTCTTGATGCTCTGTTATCTGGGGCCTCAGTGACTAGAGAGAAACTTCCCCTTTTAGGACTAGCTAATTCCTACAGATAGCAAACAAGTCCCCTGAACCTTTCATATGCAAACAAACCAATTGAGAACCCATATTCCCCAACCATCTCCTTTATCAAACTCACACACTAAGCCAACATTCCTTTACCCTAATCAACCCAGGGCTAAGCAACAATCAGGGACAGTCCCTATACCCCAGAGCTTGCTGAAATTATAACAATTAGCCAATCCCAAACCTGCTTATTCTGCTTTTCCTTGCCTTTCCTATGGAAACCATGATAAAGTCTTGCGCCCATACTTTCTCCTTGCTCCTTCTGCCTCCTGGTTGAACCTGGTGCTTCCCTTGTGGCCCCACATGGTGTGGCATACCCCCTTCTCTTAAGGATGTTAAGTAACAAACTATCTTGTCAATGACAGCTGTCTCTTGATCTCTTGGTCTCATCATGCATGAATAATAATAAAACCTACATTTTAAAACAAGGATTTGTTCTTGGGCCCCTCCAAATGTCCCAACATATCTCTTCAGGGACGTTTGACATCAGGGGCATTTGAAGTCACTGACATCATTTCCTCTTCTTTCCTGCTATCTTTGTTCTTAAATCAAGAAGATAGGAACTGAACTACCCAAAGAGTGAGGCTCTGATTAGCAACAATTTGCCCAGTTTTCATTTATTTTTGAGATTCTAACCACTGACTTACTAAAGAAAAGTACATTATCTGAGAATTTATCAGTCAATTCGAATCTTAAGTGTGAAAAATTCTTAAGTGTTCTGACAAGAGAAATGTAATTCATGGTCAAGAAGCTTATGGTACAGTGGGGAAGCAAAACTAGAAAATATTAAACAATTGATATGATTTAGTTTTAAAGCAGTATGGATTAAGTAAGGTGTAATAGGAGTTAAGAAAAGGGAAGAAGAGTTTAAAAGTGGCATGAGAGCTAAATCTCAAAGGATGACTTTAACTTGAAGAGGCAAAGATGTGGGAATACCTTTTGCAAACCAATTCAAATTGATTTAAACCAAAAGTTGGGGGGGGGGGATGGATTTAATGGTTCTTATTACTGAAAAGATCAGGCATACCTAGATCTAGAAACTCAAGTTATATCATCTGGAATCTGTCCGTTGCTATTTCTAGTAGTGCTAAAAGAACACTATTCTTTTGTAAAAGTTCCAACAGGTCTGGGCAAGGCTCTTATTGGGCTGGCTTGAACTGATTGTTGTGACTAAGGGGCTATGGTTCTCTGATTAGCCAGATGTGGTGACATGTCCACCCCAGAGCTGGCTGTGGAGTCGGTCAGATCCAAACTTGTGGACTGACTGTAAAGGTTTGATGGTTTCCAAAGGAAATTCTGAGTGATGTTACCAAAAGGTACTATCGATTCCAGACAGGAAATCACAACAATTTTAAGTATAGTGGAGAAATAATAACATGACCAAGGTGGAAGAAGAGGCAAAGATCAGTCTGATTATAATCCATAGGGATGAGACAGGACATCACTTATAAAATTCTTAATCTTTTAGCAGGATATAAAATAGGACATCTCTTGCAGAGTTAATCTTTTTAGTAAACCTGGTTAAGTATTCTTGCCTCCTTTCTTTGGAAAAAGGCCCTCTCCAAATGCTGATAATTGCCCTGGCGACTCACATCCTCTGGATATTGATAAGGGTCATCAGCCCATTGTTAAGCAGAAATGGTGTTAAGCCAGGCAGGGCCCTTAGAGTCTGAGGCGGGAGGGGACTTTAAGCCAAAGGTCTTTCTTTTTACTACTAAGCAAGCCTGTTTCCCTTTACTCACTTAATAGGCAAATCAAAAATAGAAATTAATAGATGTATAATTTAAATAACAAGTTTGTATTTTCTTTTCTTGTCTAGGGACTGCCATGACACCCCTGTAGGCAGGGACTATGGCCATTCTTAGCAGGAAGCAGATACGGAAGAAGAGACCTCCTGTCCCTCAATATCCATACTAATAATAAGGGGGTTCGTGGCTTAGAAAAGAGATAGGCAGGAAAGTTAGGGGGTTTGGGGTTTGCCTGCAAAGACATTGAAGTCATTCTATCTTAGAAGGGGTCCACCCTAATCTGCCCACAATTAAGCAAGCCAGAGGCATTTTTTTAACTCACACAAAGAAACCAGTAGGCAGAGATTTAGATTCCAGTTTAAGCCAGTCACTCATACCTGCACAATGAAGACTCCAACAACCTTCAACTCACCTGAGTCTCATTATATCATCATTACAATATAATGCATGTGCCGGGAAGTTCATTAGTATTATTATAACAGACTGAATTCTGGGAACAAACATGCACAGAAAGCAAAATGATGAATCACTGAGTCCTGTCAATCTTAGTTGTCAATCAAGGAAGTCGACTCCTCCAAGAAAAGTAACCACTCACAGCAAAAAAGGGATAAAAACCTGAAGTCTTTGTTACCAGACCCTTTGAGCCATGCTTTTCTTGCTCAGGCCTGCTTTCACGTCTGGAAGTGTACTTTCCCTTTTAACGAAACTTTTCTTTTCTACTGTATTTCGGTGTCTCGCTCAATTCTTTGTTTGAGACGTCAAGAACCTGGACAACGTGTTGGGAGAGGACCCCACTCTCCAGTAACAGGAAGAAATAGAAGAAGACAAATGAGATGTTCTAATAATCTTGAAATGGCATGATAAAGATTTATGCTAGTGGAGGGAAGAGATTAAGGTAAACCCAGATAATAATTTCAAAGGAGGAAAAGACAAGAGTTGAATATAGGGGGTGAATAAAGAAAATAATCAAAAGGAAAAGGTTATAGCCAGAGTTACAAAGGTGTTATTAACAGAAATTATAAGGAGAGTGGGTTTCTCCTTCTCCTGACGCCCCTGCCCCACAAGCCTGCTTGCTTACCCTATGATTTCTCTTATCCTAGGATTTCTATTACTAGGCTGGATAAAGACAGCTAGAAGTTCTAAGTACTGAAAGATTAGGATACCCTACCTCCTTCCATCATATATGATTCCGGGTAAAAATATTAAATGGTAAAATAAACCTAAGAAGTCCAACAGCCATGATTTTTCACATGATGCTACTGTGATGCTTTGTTTACAATCACAAATACTGAATTTTTCATATTTTTTCTCATTAGAAATTTACTTGCTGAAACCCTAATTCACATTTAATTTCTATAATCCAGCACTACTTGTTAGTAATAATATCCTTATTTTTCACCCTTAGGCTGAAAACATGTATTTTTAGACTATAGGTGATTTTTTTTTTTAAGGCAACTTTTAAATGGCATCCTAATTCTCTGAAAAAAACTTTTTCCCCCAAAGGAAATAAAAACAAGATATCAAAGAGATAGCTGCATTCTCATGCTCATTGCACAATTATTCACAATAAGCAAGACCTGGAAACAACCTAAGTGTCCATCAGTGGATGATGGATAAAGAAGATGGAATATTATGCATATAAATTGTATTAAGCTGAATTTTTTATTTATAGCTTCCAGCTTTTTTAAAAAAATAATAGCATATGTATCTAATCATAGAAATCAGGACCATTCGATGGGGGTACCAGTTATATATTTGCAGAAGGAAGAGGAAAGATGAAAAGTACATCAGGTAAAGCTATCTTTTGGTTAGGGAGAGGATTGATATTAGCACTCAGGCAAAGAGATTCATCTTCCCTTTCCGGTTTCCCTTCTCTGGTCACTATATCACAGGATGAATTCTTTTTCATTTTAGGAAACTGGCACGATTCAATGATTTGGTGGATAGAATATAGAGAATGTAAGAATATCCAAAGGAATAAAGTCTAGTGGAAAAAGAAAGCTGAATACCAGCTCAGAATTTCAAAACTATTCACTACTGGATTAATGATGCACACAGGTCGAATTATACTTGAATGCCTTGTTACTAACCTTCCAGTTCTACAAATTTTAGACTTTTCCTCTCTTTAAATAAGAGCTAGTTTTTAATGAGCTAATTTTAAATCTGTGCCAGATTACTATGCTAAATGTAAAGCATTTCCATGGGTTAAAAACTTAATGCTCACAGCAACTTCGTAAAGTAAGTTTATCATTATCTTGATTTATAGACAAGGTGACTAAGCTTCAACATAGACAATAACTTGCTTGAGGTCACACAGCTGGATAATTCTGTTCTGTATGACAAACACCAAAGCTCTGGTTTTTATAAACACATCATACTCTTTTCCGAATAAAGAAACTCTTAAATTTCTTTTAGGTAGATGACAATGTTTCAACCTGAAAACCAGGATTTTTATTGCTAAAGAAGAACAGACAGATGGAAATTGGGAGGCATTCTCTGCCACATTC